CTGAGCCTGGAGCAAAGGAGGCTCAGGGGCCCTTGTGGCTCTGCACAAGTCCCTGCCAGGAGGGCACAGCCGGGGGGTCGGGCTGTGCCCCAGGGAACAGGGACAGGAGCAGAGGGAACGGCCTCAGGCTGAGCCAGGGCAGCTCAGGGTGGATTTTAGGAAGAATTTCTGCACAGTAAGGGTCTTCAAATGCTGTAGGGACTCCATTACTCCAGCAGCAGTGGTGGACCCCCTTCCCTGGAGGTCTTGAAGAAATACTGGACATGACATTCAGTGCTCTGGTGAGGTTCTGTCACAGGTTTGACTCAATGGTCTTGGAGATCTTTTCCAAATTTACTGATGCTGTGAGTAAACCCTGCAGGTGGCACCAGCTCAGTGCCATTCATGAAGACCAAGGCACTGTCATGTTCTTGCTGTGGGGTCCATAAGTGACCCCCACCTTCAAACTGAGTAAAATTCATCTGGCTGGAAATCTGGAGGACCTGCAAGTCCAGTGAGGGGACTCCTCTTTGGGACTGCCAGAGTGGGCAAAGTGCTGCTGCCTCCATGTCTGTCTTGTGGGCATTGAAAAGAAAGAGTTGTGTCCAGTCCTGTTTAACCACTGATTTTTGTCTGCCCACATTCCTGAGGATGCTTCTGTGATAGACCTGGAAGTGAATTCACTGTTCCCCTCTGTACTTTCTGTAACTGCTTGTAAATCTTTTCTGTGCTGCTTAAACCAGAGCATTGGCAGCAGATTGCTCATGCTGAAGGTTTTTGGGTGTTCTCACGTGTTTTTGGGTGTTCTCACGTGTTTTTGGGTGTTCTCACGTGTTTTTGGATGTTCTCACATGTTTTGGATGTTCTCCCACAGTGGCTGTGGGCAGCTGCAGTCACACCAGCAGGATGCTGGCAATTGTAATGAGATCCCAAACTTTGGCTCCCACTCCAATGTCTTGGAGAGAAACTGTGTTCATTCTGTTACTTTGGAGAAGGTATTGTGGCACTAGTTCTGTATCCAGGAAAAGTTATGATTTAAATATCCTCTCTGAAAGTGTTTAGGACAAAATTAAATTATTTTTCATCGCTGTGGCCTTTGAAATCTTGCAGAACTTGAGGTAGACTTTGATTCTATAAAAAAAAAAGGCAGCTGGTGCCACTGTCTGTGGAAGAATAATAAACATGCACTGGTTGTGCAGCATTTCCTGTTATAATCATCTTTTTTCCCTGTTTCCTGTAATTTCCAAGAGTATTTTAAGGTCTTCCTTTTGTACCTGTATTTTAATAAATCCAGGCTTATTAAATTGATTTAAAAGCAGAAGAGTGAGCTCACAGTGCTCTGTTCTCCAAATAAAAAGAAATGTTTGTCTTACAATCTTTGGTTTCCAGGCACTGATACCTGGGCTAGTTTAGGCCCAGTTTTTAGACACAACACTGAGTTATTGACTTCATGAAATTAAAGTTATTCAACAGAACAGCCTGATAACTAAACTTGCAGGATTTAATTAGAACTTGGTTTGGATATAGAGATTCTCTGCAGAGCTGAGCCAGACCATGAAAACCATGAAAACTTGAGGGTAGAACTGATTGCAGAGGAAGGAAAAAGTGTTGTGGTGATAATATTGATGTTTCTTAGGCTTAGCCAAGTGCACAAAGCAAATGGTGTGAAAAGGAATTTAAATCACTTTGCTCCAGACGTTGTTTTTTGTGTAGGAGCTCAGGTGAGGATGCACTTGCCAAGCAACAGGTGAATTTTTTAGTGGTTTCTATGGTCATAAAACAGCACTGCAGACAAATCTAAACCTGTGTGGCTTAAATGTGATTTTACTCAGCTTCAGGAAAATATTACAAATCTTACCAGCAAGCTGTTGGTTTGAAATGTGGCTGAGTTTCCTTCTGTTGATGGCTTTATTTCCAAAACATTTATGCATAATAGAGGCTTGTGCCAATCCTTGTGGTTTTACACTTGCATGTCCCTGTTTATGCAGGCTGTTTATTTCTCCCTTGTTGCTGTGGGAAAGGTCCATAAAGGGAACAGAGGATGAAAAACAGCAAAAGTTTGACTGCGTTTTTCTACTGTAAACAAACAAAACCAGAGGAGCTTTTTAAGTATTGATGTTTTACTTGGTTATAGCAAAGACAGGGATGTTTTTCAAAAAATAAACATTGTTTAGGTCTGAAAATCTCTTTGTGTTGTGTGTGAAATGCTTTGAAGGGTGAAACTGAAAGACTTTTTGTAAAGAGAAATTATTTTATTAATGAAGGATAATTTCTGATATTTACTTAAGCTCAGCAGCTCTCACTCACAAGAGACTGAATAATTCCCTTTTCTGTGATCCCAGATTTAGGGATTCCTGTAGTTCTGTGATTGGACTTGCCAGGAGGAAGTGTCTTAATTCCAGGGGGAGTGTTTGGGGTGAGATCCATGACCAAGTTTAACTTGCATAGCAGCACTAAAATCCAGTCAGAAATGGAATTTTCTGGCCTCTGGTTTGGGACTTTTAAGTTCTCCGTGCTCTCTGTGGTGCTCTCTGTGTACAGAAAGCTCTGAGATGAAGGCAAACCCAACAGGAAAGAGAGAGTCCCACTTGTGGTTCCTTTCTGTCCCTCTGAAATGTCACTTTTTCCTGTGGTCACATTTGAACTTTGTGAGTTGTTTCCTGTAGGAGGATCCCTGCACTCATGGGATTCACCTTGGTTTTCCAGCCAAGAACAGAGACAGCCTCAAGGATGGATTAATTTGGAACTGTCAGGGTGTGCAGCTGTCCCAGGACAGGACTGGTCCATCCCAAAAGAGGAGTCCCAGGGAATTCCCAGATTTAGGAAGGTGCAGTTCCACCCCCAGCAGTGCTGGGGTCACACTGAGTTCTTGGCCAGTTCCCAAAGGAGAAATAAAGGGATTGTCCCCAACAATAAATCTTTGGTGTCTGGGAAGCTTAATGAGTGTTTGCAAAGTCTGCCCTTAAATTCCCAGTTTTGCTGCAGCTCCAGGGAGCTTTCCTTCTTTTCCATGTGCCTTTACAGCTATTGGAAGTATCTTCAATTTGTTCCTGTCCTTAGAGTG